ATTGATCAAAAAGAGATTTTCTCACACGAAATACGTTGCATGTATCATGAGCTGAAGTATCGATACATCGATGGACCTTTACATTATGAATACCACGATTTTAAAAGAAGTTATATATCTCATAGGCGTTGTTTTGGACAATGGCTCTTCATAGCCAATAGCTAGAGAGGTCAGAGAGATTGAATTTATAATACGAGTTGGAGACTGCACTTTACACCACGGGGCCATATAAGAATGAAATATTTTCAAACAAATTGAAAGCTACTGTGAAAACTTGGCAGAACCCTCCTGAAAAAGTCACGAGGCTCGGTGAGGCTTTCCCTGGTAAACAAGCTGAGTGATCATAAACAGAAATGTAATTCTCATCAGGTTCTATTGTGTAGTCTCCAACGCGTATTATCCACTCTATATCTCTGACCTCTATATGTTATGCTCTATTAAAAAGAAGGGCCCATTGCCAATAATATCGCCTATTTTGTATATATATTTAAGACCACAGTGTTATTGACAGGTGTGTTGAGTTTGTGCACCACTGCCAACGCAGGAGCAGCAGCAGCAGCAGCAGCACGGGCGTCACCACCACCACATCATTCGCGGCAACCTTTTTCCATTGCCGCCGAAAAAGTGTACACATGCTTCGGAGGACAATATCCCTGTGCTGCGCTGCACACGGGCTCTCGGGGTAATTTGGCAGGAGGTGGCGACGGGCAGCGTAATTGATTGCCACCCACACTGGCCCCCCCTCTACCCCTAATCCGTGCTGCCTCGGCGCTCTCTAAATTTGACAGAACCAGGGCCTGAGGGAAGAAACGCAACCGTGATTCGGAGCGGGGGTTGCTCAGTTCCCCTCTTTACCTTGTGCTGGGTTCGAGGGGTGGGTGAGGGGGCTGGGCCCATTGGGCGTTAAGGCGCCGGAGAGCAGGATTATCGCTCCGCTCCAAAGCCGTCACGCAAACTCGGGCAGACCTCATTATGTTGGTGCAAGGGGAAATCCGTACCGGTTGGCATTAAAGCAACATCTGTCGTGCTGCCCCTCTTGGTGTGGTATGCAGGACACAGCAATGTCTCGGTCGGGGCAGCGGTGGTGCTCACTAAATACCTTTCTCACCTCCAATTAGCTCTCACCTCCAATTGTCACACACCGACGGGCGCTGTACTCGTATTACCAGGGAGGTGAAGGAGATCCTAAGTAATCAGCTAGAGTAAAATAGATGCAAGTCACCGATGGTTTCATACCACAGGCTTTACAAACACTTGTGCATCTGTTGAGAGGGGTACATCCAGAAGGCCACAACACACCTCATGGGTCAAACTGCACGGTATTGTTAACGCTCGCATTGGATCAAGTGCAAAGTTACATTTCTCTTGCAAGAATGCTGTTTTGCAGTAGTTGAATGGAAATGAATCGGGAGCATTTAATTTCATGTTGACAGATATGTTGCAAGGATAATGGCTGATGTGTGTCTGCAATGGTTATGTCATGAGGTGCTGCCTCATACTGTCGGTTTTCTGAAGTACTGTGCTTACATCTCCCTCCTCCACCTCTACTCTCCCCAGTTTAACTTCCAATACCGAGCCGCGACCTGCTCTGTGTGGCACTCGCCTGTGTCTCAGAAGCTGCTTTCCCAACTCAGTGGTCAAGTCGAGACTCAGAGTCTGTGGTTTCCTGCTCAACTCAGCATGAGGTGTGGTACTCATCTGTTCAACAGCTCAGAGCCAGTGCTGAACATTCAAAATTTCGATGGTGGCGCTGAGTCTTTCCGTAGGACAAGGATAAAGGGCCACTGAGGTCATGATCTCCGGAGGGATGTATGTATGTATGTTGAACTTTCACACCACATGTAGCCAACTGTGCTAATCGGGGGTGCGGGGAAAGGACAACAAGGGATGAAGGGCCGAGTCAACCCTTGACCAGGACATGAACATCCACTCTTCCGATTGCTGCTGAGTTCGTCGTTAATAATCTTGCACGTGTGCGGCCCTATTCTAAAATCCACTGCTGGATGACAGCCTCCCCACGCCATGCGGTTTGTGAGGGGTCTTTTTAAATCTATTTTACCAGCCGAGTTAGTGCAGGTTGGAGAAAGCAGTGAGCATCGATGTAGAATGATAGAAATACAGTAATTAAACAACAACAAAAATGTGCTTTCAAGGAGGAGGTCCCTTCCTATTGGCAATGTCTCCTGCCTTCTTTGAACCTCACCAGTTTACAGTGCACCTGCAGCATCATTTGAAGGGCACACTGATGTGAGTAGCTGCCTTACCGCTGCAGTCCCTGTAGGCCAACGCGAGAGGGGCAGCCTGGCCCCTGACAGGCTACATCACAAAGGATACACTTTGTGTGACTAATGCGAGAGCTGGCTGCACTGACCGACCGTGCATTAGGGCGACACATGACCGTTAAATCAATAGCGCAGAGTGGAGGAGGGTGGCTTTGTGTTCCGGCTTAGCTCGTAACTCACGCCCACATGCTGCTGCGGATTAGCCTGCCTTGACAAGATTCCGTGTGGAAATACATTTGGAAATTCGAATCACGGACAAATCAAACTTGCTCAGTCACTGATTCCTTAACACAATCAATGGCCACAAGAAAAATGTAAAGATAACAATAATGATTAAAAAGTGCAGCCCTTTACCAATATACTCGTCATGGGGATCGATTTGCCATACTTTACCATGATGGTTCATGCAGGCTGGTGAAGGGAGATCCCAACATTGCCTCTGATATCACTCTCCACTGATGTCAGCTATGGCTAGGAATCATACTCAGGCGGCCAAGTTCATAGCGTGATGCGCGAGATATTATTTTAGTGCTCCGTAATTAGATGTGATGCGCGCTACATGGCCAGGAGCTGAGGGCATGGGGTAAATTATTCTTGATGTAACCAATGTGTTTAACTTGAATGAAATAATACAAACTCAAACAATGATTTAAATAAAATAACACTGCTGCGAATGCGCTTGAGGTTTCTTGTGGCACAGCTGGAGTTTGTGCCGCTGCTAGCGGAGGAGACCTCCACCACCAGGCCGGCCTGGTGGAGGGAGTTTCTCTGTGCCACATTTTCCGAATTGACAAATGAGGAAACGCCCTTGGATAAAGCCAAATGCGAGGTTTACATTAAAAGCCTCCCCCCACCGTTTGATTAATTCAAAATTAAAAGTACAATGTCATTAATAAAAAAAAATTACGTAACTCAATTCCAAAGTCATGTTCGTAATTCGGGTCCTTGTATGTAATAGAAATTTCCACTCACGTCGCTAACCCCTGCCGTCGACGGAGCTTTATGAAAGCTCACAGGAGGGCCCCAGTGCCCAGCCTCAGTGCGGAAGATTTCTAACAATCTGTGATGTCCCATCCCTCGAGTGGGGACGCATTCAGCGTGAGACCCGCACACTTGGCACGCGCCGTCTCGCGTCCTTCTAATCTTACCTCGCTTTATAGAGTGCATTTACCATGCTGCTTTACAGCAATTATTAAATTTAACATATGATGATAATGATTTGAAAGTAACAATTGGGTTATTTGTAAGTGGTGGTGTAGTTGTAATGACGCTAGAACAAGAGGGATTGAAATAGAGGGTTGGAATAGGCTTGGTCGTAGCTGGGGGGGTCGGGGGGGAGCGAGTCCCTGGCACCGCTGCGAACGGTGACATTCCTCCCGAGCTCACGTGCTCTCACGCCTCCACTACCAACTCGGAATCACTCTCCCCCCGACCATTCATTGGCGTAATTTGTGGCAAGGTCGCTTCCGAAAAATAAGTGAATGCCTCAGTGGGCTTTGTCTGGTAGGATGGGGATGGTTTAGTTTTACTTGTTTGTGTTTTGGGTGATTTGATTACCTTTCTTGTATTTTGCACTACTATCGTGTTATAATAATAGGGGTTTTCCCCTTTTTTCTGGCAACAAAACTGAAACCTTTTTACAAGGATTCATGTCTGCATTAACCGCAATACCTGCAGTCAAAAAGCAAACAAAAACACACTATGATAATATATGCATTGTCTTTGAAACTGATTGGTCCCTTGGTGTGGACCAATCAGTTTCAAGGACAATGCATATATTATCATAGTATATTTTTTGTTTGCATTTTGACTGCAGGTATTGTGGCTAATGCAGACATGAATCCTTGTAAAAAGGTTTCAGTTTTGTTGCCAGAAAAAAGGGGAAAAACCCTATTATTATATTTTGGTACTGGCAAAGGAGGTCTAATGATACTATCGTGTTTTTATATTTTTGTTTTTGTAAAGTTTTTTTTCCGCCCCTACTGGACATCTGTGAAAAATAGCTTTATTGCTCATAGGATTCCTCCAGTATAAATAAATATTCTGATTTTGACATTCTGACGATTAAATCTTTCGCCACCTTCTGGCCGCTCTCATGCATTAGCCATCCCCCAAACCCGAGAGCCGCGTGTCATAGCCACGTCTGTGTCTGCGGTTTAACCCCCCCCCTCTCCCACCGTGTGACGTGAAGGCGTGCACGTTGGTCGACGACTTCGTTTAGGATGTGACGTTAATCATGCGGGAGAGCATGAGAGGCAGGTCAGGAGATATGCTGCACGAGTAAGATACGTTCCTGATGGACTGCATAGGAATGGAGAGGTCAACTTTAATGGGCAGAGATGGGTGTTTGAGGCGGCAGTGATAGCTGTCTTTGTTACTCTACGTGCATAAGAGCACTGGAAGTGGGTGCAAGAGGCATTGCATCCTCTGCTTTGTATTTACAGTATGACTCAAGAGATTTTCCTCCACAGGGTGCCGAGAGGAGTATCCGCAGCAGGTGACCGATGGCCTTGGCACTACCACAGCCAGTGCTGTACTGCTCCTCTTTTGTACAGCCAGTGCTATACTGCTCATCTATTGCATGACTCCATGTTGGCGTTGCTTTTAGTTCCATTAGTGCCCGTGTTGTGCAACTCGAATCTGCCCCTGTGTTACGTAACCTAAGGTAGCCCTCGGTCATGTTATTTCAGGTGAACCCATGTTGCTGTTTACTCGTAGGTACGAGTCGAGTCCTGGGTCCAGAAGACTACAGCTGGGACAGCAGCAGCAGCAGCTCAGCCCCTGCAGACGCAAGGAGCAAGGAACGGAGCAGAGACAGGAGCAACCGTGAATCAGCGACCGCGTCCACGCCTCGCAGCAGAGCTTTCTGTTAAATGGCCGAGAAACCACTGAGGTGAGCAAGCGGATTCCTGGGATACGAGCCACGAATTCTCTATCTTTACATCGAATAAACAAATGAGAGCGGTCCCAGGCCCCCTTGGGATAGCCCTTGGGACCGCCCATCCCAGCCCTGGCCTGGGCATTGCCAACAAGATGCCTCCATTATTGGAAATCCACTCCCTATTCGAAACCCCAGCCTCTCCCTGTCTCTCCTTCCACCTCGATGTTCTCTCCCCTTGTCACCACTTGGCAAACCACATAGGCTGGGAACATCTTTGTCTGGCGCATATGTAGATATGAGACCTTTTGTGTTGATGGTTGCGAAATGTGAAACATTGGAAACATTTTTCTTCCAGCAATTTGAAATGTATGCTATATTTATAACATGCTGTTTGCAGTATGAACTGGGACATTTTAAAGTGTGGTGGTGTGACTGGATAGTGTTATGCCTGCGTGGTGGTGTGGATGATGGGGTTGTGGCTGTGTGGTGGTGTGGATGTGAGGTGGTGTGGCTGTTTGGCTGCGTGGTGGTGTGGCTTTGTAGTGGTGTTGCTGTGTGGTGGTGTGGCTTGCGGTGGGGGTGTGGATGTGGAGTGGTATGGCTGCGTGCTGATGTACTTGTGTGGTGGTGTAGCTGCGTGGTGGTGTGGCTGCGTGGTGTACCTGTGTGGTGGTGTGGCTGTGGTGTGGTGTGGCTGTGTCGTGGTGTAGCTGCGGGGTGGTGTACCTGTGTGGTGGTTCGCGATGGTGGAAGCTGTGCCTGCTCACGGCGGTGAACTGTTGATGTTGCGTGCAGCCTTCCGGCCAAGCTGATCAATGGCGGCATCGCCGGGCTCATTGGGGTCACGTGCGTCTTCCCTATCGACCTGGCCAAAACGCGTCTGCAAAACCAGCAGGAGGGACAGCGCATGTACCGAAACATGTGAGCGCTTGCCTCGCCCTTCACCAGGGGGGCTCCACACTTCACCACGTTCCCATCAGGGCCGTTAAATGCCGAGGCACTGCTCGATTCAGTCATGAATCAAGCCACCGGTGGTTTTTATTGGTCAGAATTTGATCAATACATTGGCACGTACATATACATCTTTGTAAACGTGACGATCTTGTCAGGTGGTGGAGCGTTAATGACAATAATTTGAGTATAAAACTACTCCCATGTGGCCTAACCGAAAAACAAAATGGATTAAAGAGACACTGCCTGATTGTGAGGTTAGCAAAGGTCACTTGGCTGTTCTTGAAGAGTGGACTTGGATTTCATATATTTGAAATGTGTGCATCGAACTAAAAACATCCAAATGACTTTAAAAGATCAAAGATAATATTCAGGAATTTCAATTACATATTCAACATCTTAACCACTGACCACACATACAACTGCAGCATTAACTGTGGTGCAAATTGCATGCACTTTCCACCTTTGGATTGAACATTTGATTTTTCCACTTGTTACTGCCAAAAAACATAAGAATTAATTAATGAAGGGGGTGCACGACGTTTATACTTGATGGCTGCGTAATACATCGGTCAAGGACGATTATCTTAGACTAAATAAAGCCGTCGTTGATCGTGCTCTTGGTGGATGCATGAGCGTGAGGGTGTCCGAGGCCGTATTCTGCTGTGAGGCACTCCACACGCCCGCACGGGCCCCGGGGAGACGTGCCCCATACGCGCACAACTCTGTCGCCCCCACGGGCAGGATTGAGGGGCTGGTGTGGGCTAATGGCGCAAGCAGGACTGGAGGAAAGCATGAGAAACAATACAAATGAGATAATAAAAAAAAACAATAAAAAACAATATACTCTTGAATCAAACTACCACAGCTATAACTTGTGAAAATTGCTTGACTCACCTAGAGTGGTGTAATCTGGGGTTAAGCAATCCTGAATAATCTTAGTTTTCACCCACTATGGACAGAAATTAAATTATTCTCGATTCACTTTAAACTAAACGCCCCCATCCCTGCAGTTGCCCCTTCACCATTTAGGTTAATTTGACTGGTGCTGCGTTCTCAAGCAAGGAGGCTCAGAGGCCACATCCCACACATGCTGGAGTCACGTTGCTTTTGGACTCACCATTGTATAATTGCCTGGTGTGTGGCATTGCAGGTTTGATTGTCTCATCAAGACCGTGCGATCGGATGGATACTTTGGGATGTACCGAGGTATGTGACTACCAACGCATGTCATTGCCACTCAAACGTTGTGCTCGGGGCTGGGCTCAAAAGTGCTTCTCCCCACAACTTTCAGCCCTGAATACAAATATAGCATGTTTTCTGCTGGAGTATTATTGACAGGTCTGGGGCACGTCACCGAATCCAGCAGCATGTTAATGCCCGGGTCTTTAAACACGAGACTGACGGAGCAATCTTATCAACGGTAATTGCTAAAAACGGGGGTCTTTTTGCTGGACCACTTACACAATCTTACAGCGATGCAATACATAAAAATAACATCTATATATCTTGATTTGAAGCTTTCGTGACTCCGGGAATCCATACTCTTTGGTTCTTTCGGTAAAGTCACGTAGGTAGAAAAATAAAATAAAAATAATATATCACAATGTTTCGATCGCAACACAAGTGGTCGTCCTACATGACTTTACCGAAAGAACCAAAGAGTATGTATATCTTATTATTACAGCTTGAATCCAGACTGAGAATATGCACACACAAGTGCAATGAGTACTTGTAAATAAGCATTCATGCAGAACTTTACATTTGAGGCAATGGGCTATAGCTGGTGCTGCTGCTGCAGTTCAATTATTTTGTGGATGGTTGTAGCCACACCTTGCTGAAGATGCTCATTGAACTCAAAGCCATGCCATGATTGTGTTACTTCAACAAGTAGACTTTAAAGCAGTTAAACATAAGGCGTGTATGTTAAGATAATATATCTCAATGACACATTTAGCATACTTTGTCTTGTGTGCAGTGGGTTATTCTAAACGGTGCCAAATATTTCCTTTCAAAAACATATATTGAAGAAGAGGTGGTTAGGGTGGCTCAGGGATGAGGGCATCGAGCCTCTACAGATAAGGGGCTGGGTTTGAATCTGGGCAGCTTGTTGTGATTTAACCAGGTTCTCAGTTGTAGTGAGTAGATAGTCTCAGCAAGGTCACTCATTCGATTTTCATGTTTATATTTCAGCTCTGAGACTTAAACAATTCAGTTTGAATGGCATGCGATGAATACTCATTGCAGAGCATATAAAAGCACATGATGCTCGTGTGGATAGAGGCCTGTCGAAGTGACTTCAGAAGCAGTTATTTGACGTCGTCTTTCTGATATTGTTCCGTCACAGGGGGGTGTGCACTAACACCACGGGCACAATTGGAAATTATTTGGGGGAAAAATTACAAAGATCTTAAAGCAATAAAAATCAACAGAACTAAACGTTTGACATGTATATTATTTTACAGCACTGGCCTGAGTTCCGCGTACCTTGACAATGGTTATATACACGTGAAGCAATGCATATGGAATGCCTCCATTGGAACACTTAACCCTGCTCTATGAAACGCCACCTTTTTGATGCAGCTTCTGTGTTGAATTATGAGCTATGGGGCACCTTTAAACCCCGCTATGACAAGTATTGACGTGTACCCTTTGGTTCTTTGTTTTCGGTGTGTCGGGTTCCTACCACTGAACTTGACTGTGACGTTTGATTTACTGCTGACACAACCAGGTTGATGCCCTTGGCAACTTGGACAAATGTTTGTCTAAAAGACGTTTTTTTTTTTCCTGGTTAATCATTTCCTCATCTGTAAACAAATAAGAAGAGAGTGCACGACACAGGTCTGACTTCAGAATGTTTTTTTTTATATTTCAAATATATCTTCAACTTGTAACAACATGTGATCACGTGTGTCCAGAATCTCACCCCAATTCTGCAAAAGCCAAAGCCTCTTCCAAATGACCTTATAGGAACACTCGGACATTAATTTATCATTTGGATTTTGGTTTCATGATTGCGAGGAAAAAAGTTCCAAGGTTTTAAATATTACCACAAAGCCCATTCTCATCTTGGTATTGCTGATAGATTCACAAGGCCAGCGGAAGCACGCGTGTGCATCACCACGAGTTGTACTGTACTACCACCACCACCATGATCATTGCTGCTCACGATCCTGCCAACACCAGCTGAGACGAGTTCCGTCTAAGGCTCTCCATCCGTGTCACCTGGCTCGTAATCTTTGTCACGTGTGTCTTCTTTCTCACATTCCTAAAATGGCAAAACTTTGTAAAAATATTTTTCACCAGTTTGAGCTTTATTATTGTTTTCTGTGTTCGTGGCTGAATGTTTCTGTGTGATCTTTAGATGAAAATGGTTTTCAGTTGAGTGGTTTTATAAATCTCTTATAATGTTTTAAACACCACACTAATACGCTGGTTTCTGTTAGGATGTTTATATAATAGATTGACTTGCCTCTGATGGGGGTTTTTAGATTAGTGATTGACAGTCGTCTCTGAGCAGACTTTAAGTAATAGACTGAAAGTCTTCTTTTTATTAGTCTCTGGATATTAGACTCCCATCACATAATAAGATGTGGTCTGCCCTCTTCCTGCCTATGTCTCCGTTATTCTCACGTGTATTAAGGCGGCCACTGATTAGCATGAAGGTAGTTTACTATCATCAGTCACCATCTGAAATATATCCACTTCACTTTTACAATTCAGTGGATAACTCAGTGGATTATAAAACAACATTAATCTGCAGCACAAATAACCACCTTATTGAGATCACTCTTAAGTCTCGTTCACGTGTAGAACTTTTCCCCATCATCGCTGACTTAGCGGTATTGTTTTCTCTGTTGTTGACTTTTAAATTGGTTGTCGAGATTCTGAGAAGGCTTGAGCCAAGATGTACTTCAGCATCAACTTCTGAAGCATTCAGCATCGTGTTTTACTTGCTAAATCAACCCAGCTGAATCACCCAATCCACACTGAGCAAGAGACGGCTTACTCTGCTCCGCTTGAGACAACTGCCGCCACTCAATCCCCACTTGGCATAGCTAGGGACACGATCAAGGCCACTGTTGTGTGGATCAGTTGTCTAATTAAGACGCTCACTAGGACAGATACACACAAGCTGCTTAGTCTGTAGTTTTCCCTCTGCTGGTGATATTGTAGTGACTGTCCTCGTAACTGTATGGTGCCGGGACTTGCGAAGTCACGGCCGGTAATGTTGTCATTACGGGCAGCCCGGATTACGGGCTGCAGTACCAACTCTAGCGGTGGTTGGGTGAGCGCCGGTTAGCGCGGAGGCACCGCAAGCAGTGTGTGCGATACCGGCTCCGAGTGAGCGAGCGAGAGGGAGCGTCAGCCAGCCAGGGTTACTCTGGGGCATGACACTCTGGCTGACCTGTTGTCACGTGACGAGACGATACTGGAGGGGGCGGCACCGGTGGACGGGGGCCGAGGGGTGGTCACGTGGTCCTGAAGAGCTCTCGGGAATATTCGAGAAGGAGCTCGAGAAGCCTGGACGGTGGGCGGGGCTAAGGGCGGAGCCAGCCTCAGCCCGGGAGCATATAACGGGAGCTCCGTGAGGAGCTCGGGGTTCTTCAAGTGTTGGTGTTGGAAGGTCCACGTCGGGGAGAAGAAGCCTCTAGCCACTCGGTCCGGGACCCAGCTTGTGGTCCGGACCGGGATAGCGAACCGTGTCTAGTTCAGCCGTAGCGTGGTTAGATGGACATTCGAGACCCGAGTGTAGATTGTGTTGTGTTCCGTGTTAATGCGGAATAAATAGTGCTGCTCCCAAGGTAACGTCTGCGAATCAGTTGGACTCACTACAATATTGTACAAATGGCGCACCAAAAATTTGGCAACATGCGAATGTGGCCACGAATCCAAACCATCGACCACATCATAAACACTATGCTGCTGCTGTATTCACTCGTTTAAAGGAGGAATTGACGAGATCTACTTTGCTTCTGAACAGACAATTGAGTGGATAACAAATCAACATTTTCATAATTAATCTGCTGCTATTAATTCATACGAAAGAAGATTGTGCCATTATTTGCCAGGACTTAGTTTAAACAATCTCTTTCCGTGTACGGTACCTGCTTTTTTTGTTGTTATATTTTCGAAATATTCAGTAAATCTTACAGGCCATAGGAGTGTGATAGCTTTTGTGCCATGAGAATGGCGTGGATACCAAATGTGCTAATTTTTCAGTGTCGAAGGTGAATTTTCAGACTCGTTTGCAACGTGACCCCCCTGGGCGGACCCCATTCCCCCAGGTAACCGTGTTTTCATCTCGTGGCCATGGTGATAATGAATAGCAACCACCGCTGTGGCACGCAGCAATGGAGTGACTCGTACACTCGGGCCAGAGTTCTCTGATTACAAGCAGCAGGGCCGCCCTGACGCGCTGTGGCACGCCTGCTTCTCGCTCGTCTCCACGGTGTAGCCCATGGCAGGCAGCACACAGGCCCGACAACCCGTGGGGTTTTCAGGTTTTCAAAGTCCTGTACATTACAATTGTGCTTTATAAATCCTCTCATTGCCACTGCTTCTTAAAGAGGCTGTGGGAGATATGCGACGTTAAAGGGCCATGGGAGCAGGGAGTATAATGAGGCAAAGCAGAGGGGCTCTGTGCATAAAATGAGACGGGAATTGTTTTTATTCTCGAGTGGGAGTATGGGAGTGTTGTGTTTCAATGTTCAACAACATCAATTTCTATAGCGTCTCAATGCAACTGCATCCCAAGATGCTTTACAAAAGCGAGCGGGATGAGGGTGGGGGAGTGTGGGATTTACGGTTTGTTGTGGTGAGCACGAATGCAATGGACACAAACATTCAGCCCTCGACATGTATGTACGTATGTTGAACTACTGTACATAGTCAACCGTGCGGGGGAAAGTCATCAATCGAAGCATGAAAAGCAGTTCTGTTAAAATTACTTTTCAGTCTAGATGATTTAAAAGTGAATAGCTTCATTGGCTTCCTAATAATGGAAGGAAGAGCATTGCAGACGGCCACAGAAGCGCATATGAAAGCGTGCGATGCAGTGACCGTCTTTGTTCGATGGTTAGCCAAAAGCCGCTGCGAGGATGACCGGAGCTCGCATGATGGTTTATGCTCCTTGACGAAATGAGGAAGGTATTGTGGTTCATTTGTGGAAAGCACTTTGTGTGTGTAATGAGTGAAAGAAAAGATAA